GTGTTATTTTAGATGTGTACATATATTTACTCGGCTAATTGGAATGATATAGGTTCTTATGATCATTTTTTTTGTAATTTCATACTGTTGATATTATGTGCCCTATATGTTTTGTCGTTATGTGTTGACTCTCTAACATCAGCTTTGCTGCCTTGAGAGTCAGTGTAATGTCTTGTTGCATTTTCAATAAATAAATAAATATAATCATCACCATAATTTTGTACACTACTATTGTCACCATCATCTTATCACTTTCATCATCACCAATCTTTTTTCACTATCATTATCACGACCCTTTTTATCACTAACATTATTACAATCATCTTTGTCACTATCATCATCACCAATATCTTTACCACTATCATCACCATCATCTTCATCACTTTCAGCATCACTATGATTTTTATCACTATCATTAACACCGTTATTTTTCACTATCATTATCACCATCATCTTAAGAACTATCATTATCATCAACATCGTAATCAATATAATCATAATTAACATTTTCATCACTATCATCATCATTGACAGCTTTATTACAATCATGTTCATCATCACAGTCTTTATTGCCACCACCATCATCATCATCATCATTAGCATCATTATAATTCTATGAATTTATATGTTACTAGTGGAAAGGTGAATATGTTATAATACTACACTCAACTACACCTAGCTTTATATTCACCTTACCACGTATCCAGCGACAGAGGATGCCCTAGAACCAGAAGCGATCTCCGACACGGCGGGGCATGGCGAGGCAGAGGTGACTGGGGAATTCCAGAAAGAAGACGGTACGTTTGAACTAGTAAATGATGGTCCATCTTATATACATTTGTACTTTTGCAGATTTAGGTCTTCTTTATCCCAAAGGATCGCTTGAAAGCTGTAACATCCTACCAACCCCGACCCTTCTAAATTCTGTTAATCTGTTTACAAACCCAGCGGTATGGGCTTTTGTGTTGGAAAACATTCCATTCTAACATAATGCAAAACTTTCCATTGTATCTTTCTCTCTCTCTCTCTCTCTCTCTCATTTCTCATTTGAGTCATTTCTTCTTGTTTGATGTTTATACGTGCACGATTGTGCTTCAGTATCGCTGTCTGATGACGTCCAAAGGATTCTCCGAGCTGCAGCAGCGAAGGATGCTTCGCCGTACCACCAGCAAGATCGCCGGGCCATTGCTGCTCTTGCCGGAAACCTTTTGTGTAAGTCTGTGATTGTAACGGTCACCCCAACAAAACATCTGTACCTTACTTACAACACTGTCCACTATACACCAACAACCGACTCAGCTTTAAGGCTACGTTGAATGAAGTTTCGTTCGTCTCCAAAAAACTTATAAAGCAGCTGAGAAATGAGCAAATATATGTAAATATAAATATACTAGTAACTGTCCGACGATCTGCGGTGGGACACCCATATCAACCATGCCACTAGTAAAGCTGGTAGAGTTCTAGGGGTCATCCGGCGCAACTTGACCCATTGTCCATCTAGGGTCAAGGCCACTTGCTACAAAGCGCTGGTACGGCCACACTTAGAATACAGTGCCACCGTCTGGGACCCGTACACAATCAAAGGGATGCAGGCGGTGGAGGCCGTCCAGCGCAGGGCCGCCCGGGTGACCTTTAATGACTACCGGCGCACTAGCAGTGTGACACAGATGCTCGATGAGCTGCAGTGGCCTCTTCTCTCAGAAAGGAGGAGGAGTGCCCGCCTCACTACATTTTACAAAATTGTACACAACAAAATAAACATTGACACAAACAGTATTCTTCAGGGGCGCACCAGAGGGAGCCACGTACTCAAAGACCGGCCTTATTAACACCCGCACAGGCACAGATTTTCTTTCTTTCCCCGCACTATCCCCCAGTGGAACTCCCTGCCCGGCCGGGTAGTGACGGCTCCCACAGTTGAGTCGTTCCGGGCCGGGCTAGCGGCCTGCCCGCCTTAACCTGGGCCTTTTCTCCCCCCCCCTATTTGTACCCCTTGCGGGGCTATTTGGAGGTATTTATGATGATGATGATATGCCTTATATTACAGAAAATATTGAAAAACAGCACTAATGCCGTACTGTGTAGAATGAAAAAATCAATTTCAAAGGAAAAGACGAAAATGTGAACAAATAAAAAAGAAGAGTCTATCATTCGCCATACGATACTTATAGTATTGCTATGTGTGTTTAGTTATTTGTTCATCCTTCCAGACCACATAGATTTCATATCAACTTGATTTCGGTGGACGATTTTACGTTGTCAAGGAGCGCTGACATTTTTTGGCAACATATGCATATTTCATTTTATATGCATTTCAGAGCAGACATGTACATTGAATATCAGCTGACGTTTCGTTGAGAAAGCTAGTTGATTGAATAATTTGTGACATTTCATACTGTTTGTACAGCAAACTGGGACAAGTTCAATGCCACAAAATTGCAGCAAACCATTAAGCTACTGGGTTCCATGAAAAACATGGCACCAGACATCATGGCAAGAAGCGTGGCAAAAGAGGCTGAGGTGTCAGGTGCTGTAGAAAAAAGTGTGGTCCAGCAAACAATAGACGGCATACTTGGATCAGGTAAAGTATAAGGGTATTATCTAGTTTCATGTTCTTTAGTAATATATCATGTCCATGAAAAGAAAAGGAAAAAAAACAGCCAGAGAACCAATGCTCACCCTAGAGAGAATTCAGTGGGCTGTTGTCTGATTAAGTGGACAGACTACGTCACCGGTCTTTTGGTGGCGCCGCCTGGCGGAATAGGCAGGCAGTAAACGTAAACGTTCATTTGGGTCTAATGTCACCCAAATGTGTGCGGGACTGGTAGCTTGGGTTCCATCCTATTTGTAAGCTTACAAACAGGATGAAACCCAGGCTACGTGACTGGTAGAAACCAATGAATCACCTTTAGGTTAAAAGGCACCAATACTGAAATTACTTTTATTTGTCCTTCAAAAACGTATTCACCAAATAGTGAAACATCTATCTGATATCGCCGTGTGAATACATGATCACTCCTTTAAACTTATTGCAATTCTTTATTTATACAAAGGATAAAATACCATTTTCTTCAACAATTTTCTTTAACATTTCAATTCCCAAGACAGCAAAAATGGGAAGCAATGAAATAAATCAAGAAATTACAAGACACTTGAGCTTACATATGAAAAAGAACAATATTTGGAAGTGCAAACGCTTAGTCATCGCCGAACCGTGACTTAACTAAGAATTAGTTTAGTTCAGTTCAGTTTTAGGATGTTTACTCTCTGTAACGATAAATATGTTGCAGATGAAGACCATTTTGTTTTAAAATGCTCACTATACACTGACATGCCCAAATCTTTTATCAGTTCCCTACAATAAGAACAAAAATGTGCACACTTACCCAAAGGAGAATTGTTCAAACATATTATGTCTTCTAGGAACTACGATGTAACTGAAAAGCATATTTCAAAAAGAGAGAAGAGATCTTGTAGATGTAGACGTAATATAGTAATGCAGTACTTCTTCCTCCTACCCTCTAACTTTTGAATGAAAAACTAGTGCACTTCGGTCCGTGTAAGGCTTGCAACAAAGTCCATTCGTTATTGTCATTCATTATACCTTTTTCTACAGTGATGAAGAGACAGGTGGGTGCTGCCCCAGCAAAAGGACCTGCAGGAGGATCTGCACCCGGATTCGGGGATGAGATAAAAGTAGGGATATCTTGATCATCTATCAAAGCCGGCAGGTTTGTGTGTGTGTGTGTGCGTGCGTGTGTGTGTGTGTGAGGTGTGTGTGTGTGTGTGTGTGTGTGAGTTTGTGTGTCGGTAGGGTGGGTGCGCGCATCTATGTACAGAATTGTGTACATGTGTGTTTGTGCCGTAGTATGTACATTTTTACAGCAATACATGTGTGTGTGTGTGTGTGTGTCGATGTGTGTGTGTGTGTGTGTGTGTGTGTATGATTACCTTCCCCAAGAAGGTAATGTTTTCGATGTCGTTCGTGTGTGTGTCTGTCTGTCTGTCTGTAAACAAGACAACTCGAGAAGGCTTAGATAATTACCTCCATGAACAAGAGTTCCGAGATCTCATACCTCCATGAAATATGAGCTAAATATGTTACTGTTCATTTCACCATTAATTATGCAAATACCTTCTACATTAACATAATGTATGCTTGGTGATGTAAACTTTTAACTTAGTTACACATGTCACAAGAATGAAATTACGATCATTTACCACAAAGGAGTTATAGAATTTTCAAATTACTCTGTTAGTGTAAGGCGTCCTACAGGCGACACAAGCAGAGATCTCATTTTGATATGATAATAAGCTACTATAATATTGTAATGAGGCAACTGCACTTTGGAGCTTGTAAATATGCAATAGTTTGGGTGATAATTGGCTGCTGTACACCATCCTCTGTCCCGCCTGCCGTTTTGCATTTGATTTGCGCGCTAATTCCAGCTCGTGGAGTTAATTGGTGCCCCTCTTTTGTTATAAATTGGCTCATCAAGAGCTCACTTAATGCTTGCAAACATACCACAGACAAAACAACTGAAAAGTTACAACACATGTATTCTGAATCTGAATCTGGTCCCCAAAACCATCAAAACAATATGTAAGTTACCTCCAGCATGGCCTAAAGGGGCCTCTTATGGAAGAAGAATGAATACCTTTAAAAGGGTCATGTGGATAGTAGAATTTTCAAAATAGGAATACTTAGCAATGTCACAAATAGTCGAACATGGCCTCCCGAGTACTAGTACTAGCCGACACCCTCCCAACCCTAACCCAAGCCCATTAACCATGGTTACTAAGGTCTTGAGCAAACCCCCGTGGTCAAGATACACCGTTTTCGACCGATTTTGACTATTTTTCCAGCCTGCAAAGGAGCCTGCTTGAATCTGCAGTAAGGGTCCCTTGTAGTAATCGTTGGAACGGCAAGGTTGTAAGGGACCTTATTACAATCTTCAAAAGGGTTACCATCTTTTTTCGGTGAAGGAATCTCTTTGAATTCAACAGTTTTGACCCGTTCAGCAAAGATGCCAAACATTTCCCAGGCCAGAATACACATTCAGGCTAGCCCCAGTTACACCCTGTGCAATCATTTTCTTCAAGGAAATCCTATATAAACCGAGGACCTAGTCTGTATATCGGCCTATGTATTGGCCTTGTTGGCAACAGTCTGGCACACAGGCTAGGACCCTTATAAACCTTTTATTCAATTATTGTCAATTTTTGGTGTCTGTAAAAGCGTTTTCTGTCAAAGCGTCTCTTGCTGGAACTTAAGAAAAGCTAGGCCTAGCTGTAGTATACAATTAGACCAAGCATAACAAAAGACTGCAAACCTTTTGTCTTGTGGCTAGTGCAAATTTCAGATAATTACGTCTCACAGGGGTGCGAAATACATGATTGATTGGCTTATCGACTTGATTGACAGCAAAAACTTCCCAAGGAGGTAAGGATTCATAATCTAGACTTTAAGACATTTGACGAACTATAGCCATGCTTAGGGAACGTCAGACTTGAATTAGAATGATGAGTAATGTCCTGAACTACCCAAATCTGTTTTGATTATCTTATTTTTCATTACCTGTATTTTGATATAGGGCAGGGAAGACAGGGGTACCCTAAAATTTTGTCATTGAAAGAGTGAAAAACATATTTTATATCAAGCAGGAATGATATTTTGAATATATCAGAACAGATTCTATTGGGGGACTTATGTAAGAATGTACCCTCCAAAAAGCATATGTCTCTGATATCGGCAATAGTTCCTCGATTTACGTTTTTTTGCAAAAACAATATACACTAGAAAGGCAGACATTTGCTCCGGAGCAAATGTAGTATATAGCTTCGCCATATCTGCCAGACATTTGCTTGGGAGCAAATGCAGTATTTCTGTCCATCTTCTTCCTCAATGTTATTCAGTATGTGTATTCACAAAGCCCCCATGTTGTGTTTTTCAGAACCCTCATGTACTGCTCAACACCCCCATACAGTGTTTTTCAGTAAAAGTGTTCTAGAAACCTCCATTCGGTGGTTTCAAGGATGACCCCGTCATTAGTACAAATTTTCGCACTTTTGACAGGAGTCACGCCAAACTGTATCAAACATTTCCTACCCACGCCACCTTGTATCTGCTTGGAGATTGTAAGTTTCAGGTCATTTAGCCCCAAAAGTTGAATCCATGTAACGAAATGGCAGTGGAAGAAGTAGAAACATGTGGAAAAACAATGTCTTTTATCCATAGACCTATTATATCAATACTATAAACCAATTATGGCAACAACCAATCAGCAGTCTTGCATAGAGAATGCTGCATGCCCATTGGCTAATCATTAAAATCTAAATAAAATCATTTCAAAAGACCTTATCAAAAAAACTACAAAACTCCCGCACAAATGGATTGTTCCTAAATCAAGCCTGTCCAAAATGTTAAGTGCTCGAACAGTCTATAATTATCTATGCATCAATTGTATTGACAGTCCTTAGTAATAAGTATTGAATAAAAATGCTTAAATTTAAAAAAAGATAAAAATGGGAAAAAAAGAAAAAAGTTAAATTTATGTGGTGTTAGTGAAATGATAAAAAAGGGTCAAGCTTTAAAAAAAAATAAAAGAAAAAAAATTCCATCCCCAGGACTTAAACTCACATTCCCCGAACCATGCTTGCCAAAGAGTTAGTGTGCTTACCCATTGCGCCACAGGGACATCACTGCAATAGTATGCCTTTCTATCCGTATAATGGTACTAAGAGTACATTTTAGCCTGAAGTCAAGTCAAAAAGTTTCAAATTACATAATTTTGAAGGAGTGTACCCCAAAGGTAGTAATAGAATTCTATGGACATGTGTCCAAGTTATCTCTATACTATCATGTCAATACTATAAACCAATTTATGGCAGCAGCCAATCAGCGGGCTGCATGGAGAAATACTGCATGCCTATTGGCTAATCAATAAAAACCTAAATAAAACCAGTTTAAAAGACTGTATCAAAAATGGAAAAAAAGCGCTTCGGTACTAGCCCACTCTATCTTCATACCAAATTTCAGGCCGTTTGGTTGAAAAATGACAGAGTTGAAGCCATTTAAAGAAATGGCAGGAGAAGAAGAAGAAACATGAGTAAATACAATGTACCTTCTCCATACCACTACGTGTATATATGGCGAAGCTACAATTATATCAAACATAGAAATATGTAAATATAAAAGAACTAACGTCATGAAATCGATACAACCAGCAATGTGTGTTTTGCCTCTATCCCAAGTTTCATCCATTTCTAACCATGTACGGCTGAGTTATGGCGGTTTTCCGGGCAGACTTCAAAAATCGGTGTATAGACACCGTGGGACGCCTTACACTAACTGAGTAATCATGAAATTTTTTTCCGTATTTGCATAATTGGTATCTGTTGATATTCCACCTGTCATAGATTATATACATTACATGAGGACATCTGAAGGTAAGCCAGCACGTCTTGCAACCCGCAGGTAATTTATACGTGGTTGAACTCTTGACAACATGTATTCGACATGGGGGCCCCATGCGAGGTTGTTACTGATGACTACTCCAAGGAGCTTAAATGAAGAGACCCTCTCAACGGGTTCGCCCCTTAACGTACACGGTGGTAAAATCTGGGCTGAAAAGTTCCCACATGTCATAGAACCCGAACTGTGTTCGATCGTGTTCGATCTGGGGAATTCGAATCGAACCCGCGTTCTATTTCGGGGTCACCTGCGGTCATTTACTATAAAGCGGCAAAACAAGCCTTTCTACCTCCGTGCATTGCAACAGATAAAAAACAACACTTTTCTATAGATACAAACAGTATCCTGGAAAGTACATGTCCGCTATTATTTTTGGTGGGTATGTAACATGTAGCGAAGCTACTGTCGTATCCTTGAGTGACCTTGAATACTGTAATGATTCTTTACGCCAGTATGAATAACACAATGCACACTTTCTGGCGATATGACATGTCTCCAAAACTCGTTCAAACCTGGAAACATGGAGAGTCAAACATACCCCATTTACGGCTCAAAATGACTGTAACGGTT